TCAGATCGGAAAATTGGCGAGCGATCTGAGCCGAGGTTTTTCTGGCTCGTTAGAAAACGAGCCTAACGAGCTGAGCCCAAAACGATCCGAGCCAAATGAGCCGAGCCCAAAACGATCCGAGCTGGCTCGTTTGACACCCCTATGGATAACCAAAGTGTATGAACGTATGTAATAAATAATGGGTTTTATTTTTATTTTTGCATATTGGTCATTTTTGGAACCCACGCGATAAATAATATAAAATAACCATAAGGAATGATGGAAGAATAATTGTAAACATAACATTACCGTGCAAAAATGATGGAAGGAACACACAAGGAAAACATGTAATTTGGATCATTTTTTACCCAAAAAAGCACAATTTCATACAAAGAAAAAATATAACTTTATAAATGAACACAAATTCTAAAGTTGTTAAAAAAAACAAAAGGGGGTAATTAGCCATGTAGAATAATAACAATGGATATATATATATACACTTAACGATTGAAGTTTGGTTCACAAACATCAAAATATAAGCAAAACGAGCAAGTTCTGATATTTGCATTTTTTTTTTAATAAATCAAAGAATATTTTGTTTGCAAATATTTTTAACATAGTTTTTTCCATTTTTTATTTTTTTTATGTGATTGTCACTCTTGATATATATATGAGACGTGGATTTATTTCATTCGCTACAAATAAGAACATAATTATAATAGAGACAAAGGAGATTTGGAGTTTGGTGTCATAATTTGGAAGGCGATGATTGGTGGTAATGCAACCAAATCGGCTACAAAACATCGACCAAAAAAAGGAAGAGAAAGTGCATACTTTTTAGTTTTTATCCACATTTTCATCTTTTCCCACTTTTTTTTAAAAAAAATTATTCTTAATCAATTGTTTGGTCTCTAAATTTTATTGTCCTTCGAAATTTGTAAAAGTACATGCAAGAAAAAAAAACTACGAATATCATATAATAGAAAATAAATCATTTGTATTCCAATTTTTTTATAAAAATAAGCTAGGGTATATATATATATATATATCAAAACATTAAATTACATAAATATATAATTTTGTATAGACGTGGAGGAGACAGAGAGAAGGCCCAATTAGTACAAACATGCCAGAAGGCTTTGCCTCCTTGCCTCGGACAAGCTTCCATAACCTCTCATTAAATCTACTAATTATAATATTTTATTAACAAAAATCTATCAATTGTTCCACCACTCACCTAACCAAATGATTGATTATCCTCGTGGATTTGGTAAGTTATCCCAACTGGAAAAAATATGATAATTAATGGCCTCACTTAAATAAAAATGTTAAAAAAATGGCTTTTAAATTGGTCCGAACAATTATATTCAATGATACTTACTAACATTATGCGAAAATTTACCGTTACAGAAAATAGCTATGTTATCTATATACTTAAGATTTTGAACAACCTTTCAAAATATGTAGACACCGTTCACATAATATAATATTCACCAGAAATCATTGCAAGAACAAGCCCCGTTCTTGAAATGATGGTACCGAACACGGTCCCTAACAACGATCTCTCTCTCGTACACTGTCGAGACGAGCTTGATCGCGGAATGGCAATCCTCACAGATCCTCAGGTTCTTCACGATCCGTATGCTCGATCCTTTTTCCGTACTGATCAATCCGAATGCGATCGCTATCTTTTCGCTGTGGTACTTCAGAGAAGTATCTTTCTCGTCCTCCTCCTCGACATTGAACAGAACTCGGGTCTTGCCTGGTGAATAGCCTTCTGATTCGATCCTCTCGATAACGCTGTCCAGTTGAGAGAATATCTCCTCTGCCTGTGGATGTGATGTGTCTCCTGTCTTGAACTCGTGAACCCTGCCTTGCAACTCAAGGAAACTGATCCCAGGATCCGTCTTAACCTTTCTTTCCTTCATCAGTTTCCTCAATTCTGAAGCTTTTTCCCATTTACCGGCCTCTGCGTATATGTTCGAGAGCAATGCATAGCGTCCACTATTTGAAGGATCCAAATCGAGTAAGATTTGCCCGATTTTGTCTCCCAGTTCGGTGTTTCCATGGACTCTGCAACTTCCTAAAAGTGCTCCATAGACGGCTGCGTTAGGTTCCATTGGCATTGACTCGATGAGCTCCTCTGCTTCTTCGAGACGACCAGCTCGTCCCAAGGCGTCGACCACGCAGCAATAATGCTCGGTTTCTGGCTCGACTTCGTATAAATTCTTCATAGAGCTCAAAATCTTCATCGCCTTATCAGCAAGTGATCCATGAGCACAAGCATTCAAGAGATTGACAAAGGTAACTGTGTTTGGTCTGAGCTTCTGCCTCTGCATCTTGAAGAACAGCTCGACAGCTTCGTCTGCACGGCCGTGAATGGCTAATCCTCCAATCATGGCGTTCCAGGAGAAGACTTCTTTCTCCTTCATTGTCTCGAAAACTTCCCAAGCCAAATCGATTCTTCCGCATTTCGCGTACATGTCAACAAACGCAGTACCAAGCACCGAGTCTAGCTTGATCGAGTTTTTTCTCGTATAGGCATGAATCCACCTTCCTTGATCAAGTGCACCAGTGTTTGCGCAAGCCGCAAGAACGCTAGACAGCATGAATCTTCTCGGCCTGATCTTCTGCTTCTGCATTTGATCGAAGATTTCTATGGCTTCCTTATAATAACCTCCCTGTATATACCCGTCTATCATCCCACTCCACGATATCTCATCTCTCTCAGGCATTTCCTCGAATACCTTCCGTGAATCCTCAAACATTCCATTCTTCGCGTACCCAGTAACCATCGTGTTCCAAGTTCCAGTATTTCTCTCCGGCGTTTTCTCGAACAAGTTCTTGGCTTCTTTCACATTCCCAGATTTCATGTACCCATCAATCATCGCATTGCAACAGACAACATCGTACTTCCCAAGCTCGAGCAATTTCCGAGCCTCCGGGAAGTACCCAGAAGACGCATACATCTGAATTCCCGAACTTTTCATATGCCCATCGAAAAGAATCCCAGATTTCAAGCAACGGCCATGGATTTGAAAACCTTCGTCAACAGCACCAACCTCACCGCAAGCTTTGAACATCGTAGTGTAAGTAAACTTATTAGCCCTAGAATCACTCAACACCATCTCGTAATACAAACTCAGAACCATCCACGGTTTTTCCCTCTCCAAGCAACCCTTCAGCACAACATTCCACACGAATACATTGGGTCTGTGCACAGAATCAAATACCTTGATTGCCATGTCCAAACCTCCGAGCCCGGAGTCGAAGTAACACTTGACCAGAGTCCCGGCAACGTAGTGGTCTTGAAAATGCCCCGTCCTGAGGACAATTGCGTGAGCTTGCTTGAGATTTCGGACAGAGTTGATGCATCTCGTGTTCAAGAGCTCCAAAATCGTCTTCTGGGTGAGATTCGAGGTGGGTGTTGAAGATTCCTCTGGTTTGAGATGATGAAGAAGCCCTGTGGCTGTTCTTGCTGCTGCTTTCATAGTCTCTTTTATCACAAAAACCGAAGAAATAAAATAAAAGACCATTAAATGCACTATACACATTACCATTAAAAAAAACAAACAAAAAAACTTATTCTCTCTTTTTTCAATATTGGTATTTTGGCCGTTATAAATTTGAAATAATCTTTTATAAATTATTCATTCATGTATTAGAATTTCGATCTAAATATTTTACGTGTAGACACACACACATATATATAAGTATAATCTTAATGTTGTAAAATTATAGAAGCCATAGCGAGAAAGTGTCTTTTATGATTATGTGAATCAATTTGGATTAAATGTTGGATACTGCTCGATTTAAAAGGGAAAAAATTATACTTATTACGTGGGATGTCTGTTTCAACATGTCTATTTAGCATAAAAACATTAAAAAAAAATTGATGTAAAAAAATTTATACAAATTCACTTGGCACATAATCTTGTTATGGTTAATAATATTTTATCTATGATAGGTTACTTTAATGTTTTAGACCTAATTTTGTAACATTAGAATGTTTTTTTCCCAATAAAAACCAATTTTAAGAATAACATGTTACTGTAATTCACATTGATTGTTTTTTATTTGTTTTTCTAGGCTTTAGTTGGAATTTGTTGTAATTGGCTCTATAAAAAAAACATTTACTGTTTTTAAATATTAATATTCAATTCAATTTCAATTAATTAAAATTCTAAATATAATTAATTATTTTATCAAATTTAATTATGATAGAATTATTCTAGTTAGTTTTAATTATTTTTATTTTATTTTGTGTTTATTAATCACGCACTAAAGCCCGCTGACCCAAAAAAATACACATTACGCCTACCCAAAAGTTGAAACAATGACCCAAAATTTAGGTCATTAACCAATCTTTCCCCTCTTTCATTCGTCATATCTCTCCTTGATTGAAAATTTAAATCCAATGAGCCCAAAATTCAAGAAATTTGATATAAAAAAAAATCAATCAATATAAATACGCAATATCGGTCATATAACGAGTAAGCCGATACCAAACAGATTCTACATTAAACAGAGAATAAATAATATCCTATTTTAAATCATAGCCAAATAACATGCTTTAAATAATTATATATACACCTCGACACCCACACACACACACAATCAAACAATACGTACGTACATACGTAAATACTGTAATAACTTTTTTTTGTGAGTGTGTGTGGGAAGAATGTCTCTTGTCGTAATCGTCGCGGTGGCATTGTTGAGTTCTTGTATTGGATCGTCAGCGGCGTTCGATTCAACGTGTGGAAACAAACCGGCGAGATTTATCGTCGTTGACCAAACCGGTCAAGGTTTCCAAACGGTTCAATCGGCCATCGACTCCGTCCCCGAACAAAATTATCAATGGACGAAGATCAAAATCAGCCGAGGCGTCTACGTGTAAGTCCCAACAACAACAACATATGATTTAAAAAATAATGTAAATTATTATAATTATGAAATGTGTTTATTTGTATGATTTTGTCAGGGAGCAGGTGACGATACCGTACAACAAACCGTGCATAATTCTAGAAGGGGAAGGTCAGGATCTCACGGAGATATCGTTTAACGCTCACCAAGCTACGGATACAAGCTCGACCCTCACTTCTTATCCACCGTACACCGTATTTCGACGTATCACCTTCACGGTACGTACGTATATATTCACTTATCTATATCGTTACAAGGGATTTCGTATTTGTAACAATGATTTGATATTGTTTTTTTGGGGTGCGTGTTTGATTAATTTGCAGAACACGTATAACCATATATATCTTCGGTTAAGGCCGGATTTGAGCTCGGATATAAAACAGGCAGTAGCGGTTAGGGTTCTTGGAGACAAATCGGCGTTCTTTGATTGCGGATTCGTGGGTTTACAAGATACATTGTGGGATGTCCAAGGCCGACATTATTTCAAGAATTGTTACATTGAAGGCGCCATTGATTTTATCTTCGGTTATGGCCAATCCGTTTATGAGGTATTTTTTTTACTCCCTAAACCGATCCGGTTTACTACATATATCGAGATCGTATATGACAATTAAGAATGTGTTTTTTTTTGTTATAGAATGAAAATCCGATTTGTGTAAACTCGCAAAAATTTGTAACTTTCTATGTACGTAGATTTTCATGATTGGTACAAAGTAACGGGAATATATCATTTAATGTAGACATCAAACAACTTACCAAGAATGAAAAAAAGCATTATCATTTCAAAAAAGATATTGTGTACTATATGGTTTATTAAAAATTAAAATTATGCTCGCATGATTTGGTTACCATTTGTGTATATTTTCGTTGCATGCTCCTTAAACAATGATGCATGCATACCCCATTCACACGTGTTACGTTGAAATGAAATCGCGTTTGCGTTTTGGAACAGGATTGTCGTGTAAACTCGACGGCGGGTGCGTTATCGTCGCAGTTGGAGTACGGATACATAACGGCGCAAGGGCGTGAAAATTCAGCGAACCCGAGCGGGTTCGTGTTCCTACGTGGTTCGGTCACGGGGACCACCAAGGCATACCTCGGACGCGCCTATGGTCCGTTTTCCCGAGTCATATTCATCGGCACGACTTTCGGATCCATCGTTATGCCTCAAGGCTGGGATTCTTGGTCCTACCAAGGCCACGAGTAAGTATATATCCTTTTATCACATCAAATTCAATATATATACGATTATATTGGAATATTTTTCATCTATGAAATGAGAAATATGGGTGTATTGGTGTACGTATAGGCGTGGTATCACGTACGCGGAAGTGGATTGCCATGGATCAGGAGCCGATACGTCGCGAAGAGTGCCCTGGGTCGAGAAATTTGATGCCGCTGATGCCAAGCATCTCTTCTCCATCAACTCATTCATCAATCAAGACCGGTGGATCGACAATATTCCCTCCTGATTATTTTTGTTCGAATATCGAGAATCCTCGTATCTCTTCTTTACAATCTCGATCGCTAGATGTTTGGTGTGGGGAATTCATCCTTTTCAATATACAATATTTATCAAAATTTCAAGTTATCCCTAAATTTCACGAGTTTGGTTCGGTTGATCTCCATTTTATGATAAATTTTTTTTTAAATTCATAATATATTGATGATGCGATATTTCAATGACCAGAAAGATATGAAGCACAACAAATTTCGTATAAAAAGGAAAAGAGGGATGGGGCAGATGGTCATTGAAAACGGAATGGGCTTAAGTTTGGTGAGAGATATAACTACGCAATCTTCTTTGACTTAAAGCGAAAGGGACATTTCTCGTAGGGTCCACCATATATATATCTCATCAAACCTTGCCTGTTTACATCATATCGTCCGACCACAAAATTTATAAGCTTGTCACATGATATATGTAATAAAGCGAATTTGTACAATGTTGATATGAAAATTAATCGACTTTCCACAAACCTTGGGGTTGACTTTTTGACCCGAAATTCATGGATTTCCGGGTATCTTATCTTGAGCTTATTTTAATTTAATTATTCGTGAGATAATGAGAATGATAGGTTTTCTGAGATTAGAAATTTGATTTTCGGAACTTGAGTTCGAATTTTCGTATTTATTGACGAGTTATCTCGTAGATACCCGATTAATATAGAAAATCACAAAAATATCTTTAATTTTATATTTATTTACCAAAATATCTACCCTTAACTAAATTAAACATTTTCTCTCTCATTATTGTGGATGATATTATAGATTCATATTAGAATTTATACATTTTGAATGATGTTGGATCAAATTTGTATGATTTTGGTATAAAATATTTGTAGCATTCGATTATGCAAAATCTTTTTTTCAATTTTGTGATTTAACACTCAAGAATTAGGGTTTCGTGATTATCCGATCGTGTGTCTCGGATAACCCGAATCTCACGAGATTGAGATCGATACATTTTTCTCTAATATATAACTCGATAATATTGAGATTTAGATCGAACACCCTAAAAAATTCGGGTGCCCGCCCGCGTCCAACCCTAAAGAAAACCCACGACTTAGGTTGTCCATAACGACAACTAAAGTATGAACACACACAATGCAAGTGTTGATTTCTCAATTGAAAGAACCATGTGGGGCATTGCAATCAATGTCTCAATAATAGAAGAAACACATGAATGGACATAAAAAAAATAGCTTGGTTTGTGTAATATAGACACGGAATATTTCGTTAGCAACGGTGGCCCCAAATCACCTAATATCAATGTCTCGACCGCACTAATTTCGTATTTAATTTTTTAAATATATAATATTAAATGGGTAGATCTTGTTAGGTCTCACATGCTGCAGTTGACGGTAGATGAACGCAATGACTAGGAATCAATTCCAATATTTATTTTATATACACAAATCTATCAATTGAAAGAGATTCAAGATTTCGGCCATGCCCTTGTGATATATTTGTATAGTTCCAAGAATCGCAATAGCCCTAATGAGATTCCCCCTATATACACACATATGTCCTCTTGTGTTCATTTACATTCGCATGTTATTTATATATGTTTTCGTATTTAGGACTGTCTTCTTTTTTTTTTTTTGGTCAAACGATAAAACATTTTGTTTATATTTTATTTATTACTTTTTTTTATTTTATAAAAATAAATTTATTAATTTTGTGTTCGTTTTTCATTCATTTTATTTTTAAAATTTACTTTTATTTATTTATTTTCCATCATTTCATTTTTTTTTGTATTAATTGATTTTAGAGATCTATATTTACTAAAATTTTAAATTAAATTAAATTTATATATAACCAAGTAACAACTAGATTGAATTAAATTCGATTTTTTTTCTGGGTGGGGCGTAGAATGTAAAAGAGACTCTCCTTGATCAAATGATTACAATAAAATTTTAAATCCAAAGATTTAGATATTTTTTTTTTGGGTTTGAATTAAAATTTGCTTTTTTTCTTCTCAGCGTATGGATAAAGATATCAGAAAAGAAAAAGAAGACAAGCTTTTGGCTCCACATCTACTATTATGACAAAGGGGGGAATTCAAACAAGCGAGGACAACATTTTCGAATTCAAAATAGTTTTGGAGAATCATGAAAATAATTTGAAAATGCAGTTTTTTTTTTCTATAAATCAAATATCTAAGACCGCTTGATAGCATGCTTTGATATTATTGATTATGGTTTTAGCAGAATAAATCTCATAAATCGGGATATAAAAAAAGATTTGAAATCTCATAAATTCTCAGATCATTTACTCAAAAGTCTGGTGTATTGATTTTCTCTATTAAATTAATTGTCAGAAAAGAGGCCAATTAATTTTAAAGATTTGGGGAAAAAATTTCAAAATCAACGTTGTTAGTATCTGGATTTAGTTCCACTGAGTATCTGACAAAACATAGAAGCAAGTTCTGCTTTTTACCAGTAAAAAGAAAGCATTGAAAACTGACATGTCACGTGATCTCTCTCTCTCTCTCTCTCTCTCTTCTCCCATATCCACGCGCCTTTTTCCCTCCTCTCTCTCTCCCTCTAGATTCATCATATTACCAGTTCTCCAACCTCTCCTCTCTCTCCAGATTTTTTCCCTTCTTCTCGTAGGGGAGCTTCGTATGTATCTTTGGATCTCTCTTGTTTCTGGGTTTTTTCCCTCGTATTTGTTCTGATTGTTCGATCTTTGGGCGCTCCATTACTTTGGGAACAAGTTTTAAAATTTTGGGTGTAGAATCTTTTTTTCTTTCCTTTTTTTCTCCCGGTATGCGATGTCGTTTTTGTTGTGATTTATCGTTTTGAAACAGATTGATTCGTCGTTGTTCTTTTGTTAGAAACCAGTTTGGGTTTGGCGTTATGTTTTGCACATTTACACGTTTCGGGTTTTGATTGCCTGTAGATATTTCTTGGTTCTTAACTTGGAGATATTATTTTTCTCTTCAAATTACAAATTCTGGACTTAGGGTTTGTGCAATGAGATCTGTGTTCTAAGTTTCTCCTCTAAAGTTTGTCTTTTTTTTTCCCACGCAAAGATGTTTCCTTCGTTTGTTCTGTTTCCGCAATTTTGGGTCTTTAGGGTTTACGAAAGTTTCGACCTTTCTTTGAGCTCTGAAGCAAATGCAGCTCCTTTAATGGCTTACCGCAAGTTTCTTCTGGGTATTTGCAGAAAATGGGGTTCATATCGAGGCGGGTTTTTCCGGCATGCGAGAGCATGTGCGTTTGTTGTCCGGCTCTCAGGTCGAGATCTCGACAGCCCGTCAAGCGTTACAAGAAATTGCTCGCTGAAATCTTCCCCAAGTCCCTTGTGAGTGTGTTCTTCGTGCTTTTGGCTTGGATTTTCCAGTTTTCTCTTTGTTTTTGAATCGTTTGGTCATACCGTATCAGTTACTTTTATTTTCATTTCCCGATTCCTTGTATATTTTGCATATCGTTGCTTCTGAGAATCTGGCTCTTGGTTAGTTTTATCTTACGATACTGAATTGTGTGCGTGTCAATGACATTTCGTGCTTAGAAACTCTGTCACATGTTTGGTTCTGTACCTTGATTTTGATATGGATGTTGTTATGTGAATGTGAAGGTTTCTTTCTTGAATGTAATTTGAAAAAGTTTGTAACTTTCCTGTAGGATGGTGCACCAAATGAAAGGAAAATTGTCAAATTATGCGAGTATGCCGCAAGAAATCCATTGCGTATCCCCAAGGTAGAATTTTCATGTCTGTTATTTTTTCACCTATATAACAAAGGAGTCTTCTGCAAAATGTAGCTTTTGCCTCTCTATGCTTGTTACAGATTGCTAAGTTTCTTGAAGAGAGGTGTTACAAGGAACTTCGATCTGAACAGATCAAGTTCATCAGTATTGTCACTGAGGCTTACAACAAAATGCTTTGCCTCTGCAAGGAGCAGATGTAAGTTTTCGCATGTCTTGTCCATGCTTTCTTTAGCAAGTTCTTCTAGATATGGATGTTTGTTGTGCTGCTGTCTATGGTTGCAAAGCTTTTTAACTTTTGCAATGGGCTGAGTTTTTTTTCTTTTTCAAACGAGCTTTAGTCTCTCCACTTGCAACCATAAACATGTGAAGTTGTTCACCAGGAATTTCACCAGAAAAAGGTTAATGCGAGAGAGAGAAAGAGAAGAAAATGGATGTTTGGTATAACTGCAAAAAACTTGATGTTATAGGTTTCGGATATAGTTGAAAGCTAGGGCAAACAGGTTTAAAACATGGTACAGGCTCTTGTAACATTCAGCACCTGAAAAAACTTCTCTGTGCCGGATTCTGTCGTGTAGCAAAAAAAAAAAAAGGAATGGGCCAACACCGTTATGACAAGCTATGTTGCTTATGTGATATTAGTTTGCTGCTCAGATATTTTATTGGAAGATCTTTCGTAATGTTTGCTAACTTCCCCCCTTGTTTTAACTGTTTAAGGGCTTATTTTGCCACGAGTGTGCTGAGTGTGGTTACTGAACTACTTGATAACTCAAAGCAGGACTCAACGAAAATGCTTGGATGCCAAACCTTGACTAGATTCATTTATAGTCAGGTGAGAATGTTTATTTAAGAAAAGTAAGAGAACGTGATTTAATCCGAAAATCACAGATAGACTGTTGCTCCTATACGTCCGTCGGAATTTATTTAGTCACTTTGGCTTGGACTCTTGGACAATCTGTAATGCACAATTTTATTTCATAATGTTGAATATTTAGATGTTTGCTTATTCTCCATGTGGTATGTACAGGTTGATGGAAGTTACACCCACAACATTGAAAATTTTGTTCACAAAGTATGTTCACTGGCTCATGAAGATGGGGATGAACATCAAAAGCGGTGTTTAAGAGCGTCTGGTTTACAATGCCTTTCAGCCATGGTATGAAAAGCCAATTTTTTTAGGCATGATGATCTTTGTTCATCAATTTTTTTTTTTTTTTTTGTCAAAACTTTGTTCATCAATCTTACGCCAAGAAAGTTTTGTTTGATTGTTATTGTTCCGTACATTCTTTTTTTCCTCAGGTGTGGTTTATGGGAGAGTTCTCTTATATCTTCGCCGCTTTCGATGAGGTGAGTCGATTCTATTGCATGTCACTCTCATCCATAGCTAGTTCTGGTTCTTGAATTCTGATTCGACCAGTGATTACCTTAATGGTAGTTTGGGGTATCATAATGGAGGTATATTTGTAAAAAATTGTGGTTGAGTGCTTGGGTTGCATTTAAACTCAGAGGAAATACCGTTAGTGGTTAATGAGTTTTAAGCGTTTTTCTCTTGTGAGGATCATTGCAGATGCCAGTGAGAAATGAATACCGAGAATCATTTGTGTTGATAAAATAATGGTGTAAGAAAGTCAAAGCTTAGCCAAGGCCTTTGAATTTGATAAATCAAGCTGAATTCCTTGTGATTTTTCGGATACAGATTGTGCATGCCATTCTTGATAATTATGAGCCAGACACTACCGACCGAGCAAATGACGACAGAGAAGAACAAAATTGTAACTGGGTCAATGAAGTGATCAGATGTGAAGGCCGGGGAATAACGGTTGGTGGTGGTAGTAGCCCTAGCTACATGATTCTCAGACCAAGAACTGCAAGAAAAGAACCATCTCTGCTAACAAAGTAATTGGTTTAACCCTACCTTTTTGTTGTGAATTTGCTTTTCCAGGCCCTTTTATTTCTTTAATTTTGCTCGATGTTTTGGTTTAGGGATGAGACTGAGACACCCAAAGTATGGGCTCAGATTTGTCTGCAAAGGATGGTGGATTTGGCTAAAGAAAGGACAACTCTTCGACGAGTCTTGGATCCTATGTTTTGCTACTTTGACTCTAAACGACAGTGGACTCCTCCAAACGGTCTGGCCATGACTGTCCTGTCTGATGCTACCTATTTGATGGAAAACTCCGGTATTTTCTTCTTTCTTTTTTCTTGTAAGCTGGAATACATTTATATACATGTTGACTAGTGCGGTTGTTTTCCAGTTGTTATCCGACAATTGCTTTTCGTGTCTGCTTATTGTTTAAACTAGTATCAGTTCTCTGATTTATTTCACTCCCTGGTTCTAGATGTACTGATGTAGTAGTTCTGGCATGTGTGTTGTTATGTCTCTTTATATATATGCATGACGTTTGAATACAACAGCTGCTGGGCCAACAATTATGTAATGTTCTAGTGGCTTGTATTGCAATTGTCCAGTGTGTCTCGTCTATGTTAGATGTACATTTGTGGCTATGATATCTGGGATTGCATGTAATGTATATATAGGTTTGTCATAAATGTTTGCTGATCTGAATTTTGGTATTGTGTAGTTATATTTTATATGTGCGTTAGATGAATGTATTATGATTTATTATTAGATGTTTGTACTCATTTTGTCTTTGATCTGCAGATGTACATGTGTTTATTTATCTGTTTATTTGTATCAGAGAACCAGCAGCTGGTTTTATCAACTGTTGTACGCCATCTCGACAACAAGCATGTAGCTAATGATCCTGAGCTCAAGGCCTTTATTGTACAAGGTGCCGCTTCTTTGGCAAGACAGATCAGAACAAGCTCGTCTCTTCGTGATGCAAGTTTTGTCAGCGACTTGTGTCGACATCTAAGGAAAAGTTTCCAGGCAACAGCAGCTGTTGGAGAACAAGAACTGAACTTGAACATGATGCTTCAGAACTCTATTGAAGATTGTTTGCTGGAGATAGCCAGAGGAGTAAGTGAGCTTTTCTATTGATGCATGTTTCCAATTAGTACACACAAACCAAAAAAAAAATGACGCAGCTTTGCATGCTTATAAGCAATGCAAAAAAAATCTCATTCCAGCTTGTGAAAAAGTTGAGATGGGTATTTGTTACAAGGTTAACTTGCATTGAAAGAATTAAACAGAAGCTATGAACTGACAACTACACAAACCAAGTCCTGAAAATTTTGTGTTGGTTGTTAAGTTAAAGCTATTGTTTCCAAATCTTCAAACTGCATTTTGTGTGGTGTAGGTAATGGCTTGCTGGTGTTAACCTCTTTCTTCAAGATCTTGTATTTTACTTGGATAACGTTGTTTCATATGTGCATTTCAACAGATTGGCAATGCGCAGTTGTTGTTTGATATGATGGCTATTGCAGTGGAGAGGCTTCCCTCTTCGGGAGTTGTTTCCCGTGCCACAATTGGATCATTGTTGATACTTGCTCATGCGGTTTCATCAGCATTATCACCATCTTCGCGCTCACAACAGGTGAACTGGGTATCCAATAACTTGTCATTCCTTACCTTTTTTTTCTCTTCTATTTGTTTCTCCTCAGTGTCAACCTAGTCTAAGAAGCATTTGGTAACAGCACAGAACAGTTGTAAACCCTTTTCTTTGTATAATAGGTGTTCCCAGATGCGCTTCTCGATGCCCTTTTGAAGGCAATGCTGCATCCCAATGTTGAAACACGTGTGGGAGCACATGAAATATTCTCTGTCCTTCTCATTCCACGTTCTAATCAATCTCGGACTGGACTTGCCTCAGTGAGATCTTCTGGTTATCTTAACGAGCCAAGGAACTGTAGGACCGATAAGACTTCTGCTTTTACTCCTATTGCTGCTCTACTAGACAAGCTCAGAAGAGAGAAGGATGGTTCCAATAATGACAAGAATGGATATAGTGCTCATGAGGAACTCAAGAACTGCAAAACCTCCCCGAATTTTCACAAGTTGAATTCGATTATTGATAAGACTTCTGGGTTTACCAATCTGGCTGATACGGTACCTTGGCATTTTGCTTATAAGTAGCCTGTATCGTGTGATGAAAGATCATACCTGTTTTGTGTGCTATAGCTGATATGTTGTCTGGTGATGCAGATACCATTCATGATGAAGTTTACTGAAGATCAAATAGGGCAATTGTTGTCATCATTTTGGATCCAATCCACTCTTCCTGATAATTTACCTTCAAACATTGAAGCTATTGCTCATTCTTTCAGCTTGACGCTTCTTTCCTTGCGAGTGAAGGTGAAAATTTACGTCTTTTTCTCTTGTTCTCATTCGCATAGTTTTCCAGATTCATCTACTTGAGGCTGTCTTGTGGTTAAAAAAGTAATTTGCCTTCACAGTACTAAGCTTGCACATCTCATAATTGTCTAATGGCAGAATCTCAGTGATGGGCTTGTTGTCCGTGTATTCCAGCTTCTCTTCTCACTGAGGAATCTATCTCTGGACCTGAATAATGGTACTGAATGATGACATGATTACCTCTTAAAACCAATTAAAATTTTTCCATATGCTTGCATGCAATCAATACTTTCTTCATTGCCAGGCACATTACCTGTGATATGCCATCGATTGATCCTTGTTCTATCGATGAGTATGCTGATGTTTGCTGCCAAAATATATCATATCCCTCACGTGTGCGATCTTCTGAAGTCCCAACTTCCGGCTGATGTGAGTTCTCTCGTGTTTTTAACAAAAAGGAAAATAATATCCAGTGGTATCGTAACAGTAGATTACGTGCTAAAATTTTTTCAGGTGGATCCCTATTTGTGGATTGGCGATGACCTGCAGCTTCACGTAAGGCCACAGACAAATATGAAAGAGTTTGGGTCCTTGAACGATGACCAGAAGATGGCTGCTTTGACACTATTTGAAATGCGAAGCAAAGTAGAAGAGTCCAACGCTATTATAACCGATATTGTAGCAAAGAATATATCCAAGATTACAAAGGTAAAAGCTTATATGATTCTTCTGTGTTGCGGAACAATTTCTCGGGGCTATGCCTATATACCGAAGATTGGAGATTTAAAAATGATTGAGATGTCTGCCTGCTCTTTCTTGTGCTGATTTTGATTTACATTTGTTCTTGTTAAGCTTGAGGAAGCTGTTGTAAGCATGGAACTCTCTGAGCCATTCACTCCCGATGACACGTTTATATTCGGTCCACGATCAACCATCGAGTCTGATCCAAACCAAAGTATTTCCAAGGACTCACTGTCCTTTGATGAGGTATCATTATGAACTTTTTCATTTGAGGACTTGTTTAGATCTGAATTCTGTGCTTCTGTACCGTGTTCTGTTCTCTGTTTCTTACTGAAGAAAATGGAATATAAACAGGTTATGAGGAACTTGTTTTCCGGTTTTACAGGACATTCATGGAGGTTCGATGGTTGAGGAAGATGTGACGAGTGAACTCTCTGTTGCTGATATTTCCCGTTTCTTACCAAAACCCTCCCCTTCACCATCTCTTCATCATGTTATCAGCGTTGGCCAGCTTATGGAATCTGTAAGCACAGATACTTTCTCGGACATTTAAAAATAATGATATGGTTTTCTTTTCTCGAGGTTATTGATGTGAGTGATCTGATGGGCAGGCGCTTGAGGTGGCTGGTCAAGTGGTAGGATCATCCGTCTCTACCTCACCGCTTCCTTATGATGCAATGGCTAACCGCTGTGAGACCTTCGGGTCTGGGACCAGACAGAAGCTCTCAAATTGGTTGGCCAGCGAAAACCGCCAGATCAATGGACTTGGCAGAAGAGATTCACTGGCCAACCTGTCAGTTCTTGACAAGGTACGAGGAAACATCTTGCTACAGAAAATTAACTGCTTGGTTAATATCTCAACCGTTACTAAATCCAAAAGCCGGCATAATTTCCATGTTGTGCCAATAAGCTAGTTCCTGTCTAATTGTGAAAGAGCTGGCAACTTTATTCTACCATCATCTGCCTTCGTGAGTTTTAAGTATCAGATGGTGAGAAAGGTCGAGACTTTATATAGTAGGAGGCTGAAACTGATACATTGATACACAATTGCAGGTAGGAGATGCCGAGAGCATCACAGGGCGAGAAGTGGGTCTCCCACAGGAGCATTGGTCCACGATGAGGCTGCCACCGGCTAGCCCTTTTGACAATTTCCTCAAGGCGGCTGGAGCCGGGTGCTGAGACAGCCGGAAGATGAGTGGAACTAACTTCCGAACTGCCCGAAATGTGTGTGTAGAAAAACATCTCTCAGTGTATTCAGTTCTGTAAAGTCTTTGTATTAGGGTATTTAGATTTAGGGTTCTTAGTTTCAAGGACAATTCGGATGTCTCTGTAGTCAAGAGGCGTTATAGGTTGATTGGTAGTAATCAATCAAAGCATAGTTGCTTTGTTGTGTTTCAGTAGGACTATTACCTTGTTGTGTCCTAAGGCTGTGTTTCAGTGTTTAACTGTTGGTATGAGGACGAAGAATGTATTGTAACAATTGCGCGTATGCTTGCGTTCAGCGTTTTCAATCGCAATCGCGTTTGGCTTGCGTCCACCAAACCCAAATTCTTTTTGAATTTGTTCTATATATTACTGTCGATTTAACTAAATCAATTGTTAAATGATGGATCGATTCTTTTAAGTTTCTTGAAAAATATCAAACTAACAATAACATGGTTATGGAATGATTATTTGATATTTTGGTTACGAGATAACCGGTTAATTCCTTAAACCAGTACCAAACCGACATATTTTCTTTCCCTTAAATCTGCCTCTTTGGCTCTTTGCGTTCGTATGGGTTTATGAAGGGCTTTAACGCCGATCTTCGTCTCCAGACTTCACCTCCTCTTCCAGAATTCTCCAATGGTTTATTGCGTCTGAGGAAAAGTATAACCCTAGATTCCCGAATTCGCTTCTCTGAATCCCCACGTCCCGTCATGTTGAAGCTCCTCTCTTCGTCAGCTTCCCTTACTCGTCATGTCTCTCCGGCTGCTCTTCGGGTCGGGTCCGGTCCGGTGGAGAGCCCACTGTTCAAGGCGCTGAGTCAGCTCACCGGGTGGAATCGGAGACCCAGCGGGTTGGGTCGCCGCGTTTTCTTCTGCTCCGAGCCCAACGATGGCGCGCCCGAGGCGGCGGCTGATGCCGAGACGAAGGCCGTCGAGTCAGAGTCCGAAGGGCCCGACTTTAAATCGTCGTCAGCGATTGTGTCCACTAACCCTAGGCCCGAGGATTGCCTAACAGTTAGTAAATTTGTTCTCTTTACTTTTTGGGTCTGGTGAATTTGGTTGCAATGGCGTCTGTTGAATCCACATCTTGGATTACTATTGCTTTAGGAATCTTTCCAATTGTCGGGTTGTTTTGAAATTTGGTTAGTGCATTGTTAGCTGATTTTGTTTCGTGGCCCATGCGCAAATCAGTTTGATTGAGAAGCTTCAATTTTGTTCGACTTTGGAAAAGTTTCGAAATTTTGGTTGAATTCAGTGTTCCAGTTGTACGCTGGTCGATCACTGATAGATTAACTATGCTTATGGGGATGCTTAAGAATTTGTTCACAAGTTCAAGTTATTTAGTCTGGTAAAGCTTGTGCCTTTTCTGAACGTTTATGTGGTTCAGTCATGTGCTCAATTTTTGCAGACTTAGGGTTCTTTTCATGAGAATCTGCGTTATTGAATTGCAGGTTTTGGCATTACCGTTACCGCACAGACCTCTTATTCCTGGGTTTTACATGCCAATCTATGTCAAGGTATGCCAACTTCAGACTTCTTTTTCAAAACCCTAACCATCCGCCTTCTCGTTTTAGCTCGATTTATTTTATATTTGCTGCTTAAATTATTTCGCAGCATTGCTCGGTGTGATTTATTGTACTACCTTCTATGTTTGGTGTTCCAGTAGTCCCTGACTGGTCGGGCTCGGCTCGTATTCTTGTGACAAAATTTTCTAATTGACATGTTTGGAAAAAGATCCCTTTTTGTAATAACTTTCTCGATTACGGAAATGGATCCCTACATACACATGAAAAGTGTTGAAACATTTCCAGTATGACATTTCTGTCTTGCCTTTCTCTTTTCAACAAAGACAATAAAGTTTCATGCTTGCAGACATTCTCTACATTGCTGTTTCCTTATCTCTAGAGTATGTATCCATGCCTTAAGACATAAAACTTTGGAGAACCATCAGCCATTTTTTTGCTGAAAGCACTTCCACTCTTTTGGTATCGCTTAGGTCCTTGAAACTCGTTTGTTGGTCATGCAGTAGCACTTTGTGGCAAATTTGTGGATACAAACTACTTTGTTGTGCTTTCCTCTGTTATATTTCTTAATCAGATTACCAAATAGACTCTAGAAGTGTTGTTATAATTAGAAACGCCCAATCATCTTGTGTTTATCCGACTCATATGTGCTTTCTGGTGGTCAGGATCCTAAATTACTTAAAGCATTACAAGAGACAAGAATGCGACAAGCTCCATATGCTGGGGCTTTCCTTTTAAAGGATGATCCTTGGATGGTGGCTTGTTATTTTCAACGATTATTATGGCCCCTTTTAGATTTTCATCGCTTATTTGCTGAAAGAGAAAGGTTCTCAGCAAGTTCCTAACTTTACATTTTGTAAAAATGCATATGTACCAGGGAAAATCATCTGTCTTTCGGGCCCTCCGGGAGTAGGGAAGACCAGCATTGGCCGCTCTATTGCACGTGCTTTGAACCGCAAGTTCTTCAGGTTCTCCGTTGGAGGGTTAGCTGATGTTGCCGAGATCAAGGTATTCTGCAACTTTTTCTGTATTTGACAAAGTTCTAATTTTTTTTTTCCTTTTAAGTGTGGTTGTTCTGGAATAATTTTTTACATGTTGTATCATGTTGTAGGGGCATCGTCGAACGTATGTTGGTGCTATGCCAGGAAAGATGGTGCAATGCCTAAAAAGTGTTGGAACAGAAAACCCTCTTGTCCTAATTGATGAAATCGATAAGGTATTTGCTTTTGATTGGCTTATCGAAGTTCGTATTCAACATGTATAAGTGTTTTCTGCAATTACATTTTGTGTATTGTTTCCGGCAGCTGGGAAGGGGACATGCCGGTGACCCGGCTAGTGCATTGTTGGAGCTTCTAGATCCAGAACAGAATGCAAATTTCCTGGACCATTATCTCGATGTTACTCTTGACCTTTCCAAGGTTTAGTAATGGTTTCGCCTTTCGCTTTTGTTTTTTGCTTCTCTCTCCAAAGAGTTGCTTGATCGACTTCACCAAGTTGGCACACTTGTTCAGGTACCCTTTTCTTGTGTTGTAGCATTGTTTTGCATGTGTGTTTAAAATGACTGATGGAATGATCTTACACGATTCTGTCATGATTTTCTAGATTTCAAGCATCCAAGGTGACCAAGTTACCATCATTGGTTACAGGCGACTCCGAATCACAGAGATGGTATGCCAGTAGGAAAGATGACTTAGAGTTCTATTTTGTTTTTTCTGCTTTAAAAGGTTTTTTGGGTTCGGAAGTGATACATTATACTTTCCTATGTGTCTTTCCTATGTGAAGTTACTTTTTTCTTGACGGAGAGAATTATGTCTTTTGTACAGGTGAGCGAAGATCCTCTTACTGTCAAAATCGATCATCTCAAGGTACATTGTCGTTTGTGTTCTTTTTTCTTGTGAAACAAAAAAAGGGATATTTGTTTGTTTGATAATTTCGAAAGTGTGACCATTTTCATGCATTGCCCGGTTCTTCATGTGCAGGATAAGCCATACGACAAGGATGATGATGTTATTAAGGCAACATCATTTGAAGTTATTTCAACACTTAGGGATGTTTTAAGAAAAAATCCTCTCTGGAGAGATCATGTCGCGACTTATAACCAGGCATGTGGTTTCATATTTTTTATCAGTTGGGCCGTAAAAGGTGTCAAGACAAATATCTAAGTACATATTGCCTTTTGAACTTGTGTAGCACATGGGTGACTTTAATTATCCAAAAGTAGCTGATTTTGGAGCCGGGATATCTGGAGCTAACAAGGATCAAGCTCAACAAGTTCTTGAAGAACTAGATGTAAGTAGTTTCACCAATGTATTGTTATGTTTAGAATTACATACTTGTAGTATGGTATTTTATTCTAGTCAGTCTCTCATCTCTGTTCTGTCTGCCCAGGTGTATAAACGTCTACAGTTGACACTAGAGTTGTTGAAAAAAGAAATAGAAATTAGCAAGATTCAGGTATTTCATCCCTTCGTCTTTTCATTTAACATTTGTTTCACCAAGAATGGATCCTTATCTCGTTTGAGCCGTGTTTAGGAATCTATTGCGAAAGCTATCGAAGAAAAAATTAGTGGTGAGCAACGTCGTTACTTGCTAAATGAGCAGCTCAAGGCTATAAAGAAGGTATTAAGCTTGACTTACAAATTCTGCATGCATTTTTTACGTTATATTCCTCATATATGTTGGTCTGGGCGAGTATAACATATCTGAGCATCTGCTCTCGATTGAATTTTATTTGCTCTGACGCAGGAGCTAGGAGTGGAGACAGATGATAAATCTGCACTTTCTGGTCAGTACCATTTTAGAGTAACTTTAGTTCTGTGTTGTGAATTTAATCACCATAACACAATTCAAACTTTTGAGGCCTTGATCCTATACGCTGACACTTAATGATCTTTTATCTCCTGCAGCAAAGTTTAGGGAAAGGATTGAGCCAAGGAAGGACAAAATCCCAGCTCATGTTATGCAAGTCATAGAGGAAGAGCTTACAAAACTGCAGTTGCTAGAGGCGAGTTCCAGTGAATTTAATGTGACCCGTAACTACCTTGATTGGTTGACCATATTGCCGTGGGGAGATCACAGGTCTGTTATTTATTTTATTGTATTATTGGATTTGTTAACAGAATGCAGTTGATCTAGTGGTATGAGGAATGATATGGATGGGTGGTGCATTAAGTTTTGCTTTGTGATGAGAAGCACAGTTCCATTTGGATTGCGAGGATTGAAAAATCTCTGATATCATCCCTCTTTTTTCGATTTGCAGCGATGAGAACTTTGAGATCTTGCGGGCACAAAAAATTCTTGACGAGGATCATTATGGCTTAACGGATGTAAAAGAAAGAATACTAGAATTTATTGCCGTTGGAAAACTTAGAGGCACTTCACAAGGTCTGCATCACTTCTTTGTTAACTGCCCTTCAAATGGATGGTGGCTTGTTATTTTCAACGATTATTATGGCCCCTTTTAGATTTTCATCGCTTATTTGCTGAAAGAGAAAGGTTCTCAGCAAGTTCCTAACTTTACATTTTGTAAAAATGCATATGTACCAGGGAAAATCATCTGTCTTTCGGGCCCTCCGGGAGTAGGGAAGACCAGCATTGGCCGCTCTATTGCACGTGCTTTGAACCGCAAGTTCTTCAGGTTCTCCGTTGGAGGGTTAGCTGATGTTGCCGAGATCAAGGTATTCTGCAACTTTTTCTGTATTTGACAAAGTTCTAATTTTTTTTTTCCTTTTAAGTGTGGTTGTTCTGGAATAATTTTTTACATGTTGTATCATGTTGTAGGGGCATCGTCGAACGTATGTTGGTGCTATGCCAGGAAAGATGGTGCAATGCCTAAAAAGTGTTGGAACAGAAAACCCTCTTGTCCTAATTGATGAAATCGATAAGGTATTTGCTTTTGATTGGCTTATCGAAGTTCGTATTCAACATGTATAAGTGTTTTCTGCAATTACATTTTGTGTATTGTTTCCGGCAGCTGGGAAGGGGACATGCCGGTGACCCGGCTAGTGCATTGTTGGAGCTTCTAGATCCAGAACAGAATGCAAATTTCCTGGACCATTATCTCGATGTTACTCTTGACCTTTCCAAGGTTTAGTAATGGTTTCGCCTTTCGCTTTTGTTTTTTGCTTCTCTCTCCATTCTTTCGATCCACACATTTGTCTAATCTGCTGCGATTTCTATTACAGGTTTTATTTGTCTGCACAGCAAATGTGATAGACATGATTCCAAATCCTCTACTGGACAGAATGGAGGTAATTTCTATTGCCGGGTACATCACCGATGAGAAAAAGCATATAGCCAGGGATTATTTGGAGAAAACCGCACGTGAAGAGTGTGGCATTAAGCCTGAACAGGTTTTACTCTCGTCTTATCGTCTCCTCTCTCTCTCTCCCTCCTCGTTCAAGAGTAATTGCTCTCTAACCATGTATTATCGTTGTGTTTTTTAGCTTCTGCTTTGTTGTTTTCGTACTTAATTTCGTTTTACTGTGTAATTACCAGGTTGAGGTGAGTGATGCAGCTCTTCTATCATTGATTGAAAATTACTGCAGAGAAGCCGGTGTTAGGAATCTCCAAAAGCAGATTGAGAAGATATACCGTAAGGTAAGAAGCTTCTATAATTTTCGCGGAAGATTCCAAAATAGTTGCTCGGGTCCTTTGAATTTCTAACGTCATTGACTATTCACAGATTGCTCTTAAACTAGTCCGAGAAGGAGCGTCCAAAGAGTCTGCTGATGCTTCTGAACACAACGAAGCAATGTCTGACGTGAACACTGACTCGGAATCCTCAGAGAATCCAATCGATAAAGAATCTGAAGGATCTACTGTGCAGACAAATGAGTCAACTTCCGAGCAACCCATTGAATCAAAGGTACTGTGAAAAATTCTGCTTTTTCCAAATAATCATGAACCGACTTTGTTTTTTTTGGAAACATTCATGTTTCTAATCGCCACCTGAAACAGGAAGAGCTTCAATCTGAGAAAACCGGAGCAGAAGCTGGAAACGTGGAAAAGGTTGTGATTGATGAATCAAACCTTGCAGATTACGTAGGCAAACCGGTTTTCCATGCGGAAAGGATATACGAGCAGACACCAGTGGGGGTAGTGATGGGTCTAGCTTGGACGTCCATGGGCGGTTCAACGCTGTATATAGAGACGACAGTAGTTGAGGAAGGAGATGGGAAAGGTGGCCTCCACTTGACGGGACAGCTCGGGGACGTTATGAAAGAAAGTGCTCAGATTGCTTACACGGTCTCCAGGAGAATCTTGCTCGAGAAAGAACCCGAGAACACGTTCTTTGCGAATACCAAGCTCCATCTCCATGTTCCTGCTGGGGCCACTCCAAAGGACGGTCCGAGCGCAGGCTGCACCATGATCACATCCTTGCTATCGCTCGCAATGAAGAAGCCAGTTAGAAGGGATCTTGCAATGACAGGGGAAGTCACTCTAACCGGTCGGATTCTTCCCATTGGAGGGGTAAGCTGCTCAAAATTCTCGAAAGTTTTCTGATTCTGATAACTCAGTCCCGTTATTTTTCTTGGTATGAAACAAAAACGTGTATCTTTTCAGGTGAAGGAGAAGACGATAGCGGCGAGAAGGAGCCAGGTGAAGACGATAATATTCCCGGAAGCCAACAGGAGAGACTACGACGAGCTGGCTGAGAACGTGAGAGAAGGGCTCGACGTACACTTTGTCGACGACTATGCCCAGATTTTCGAGCTGGCTTTCGGCTACGACCCCCACCCGACCAATCATTAGAAAGAGGTTTGAACATGTATGCCTCTGTCCTAATCTCACATTCTTGATTCTTTCAGGCGAGGACAAGGTTCCCCCCCAATGCGTTCCTCTCTTCTCGGTTCTTTATAAAACAGTCTTTCGTTTTTTTTTACAAGGACCATCATGCATTCGCCTAAATATCTGTGGCATTTGTAACATTTAAACTTCGGTTATCCTGCGGTGGGACTTTTGGTTATTAAACCAAATTTCGAATTTCGGTATTCATTGAATAAAATGTACCGTCTCTACACATATGTGCTTTTGTGTAATGATCTCAAAACGGGAGTCGTTGTGAGGATATACATCTCTCAAAAAGGATGAGGCGCATTTCATCGCAGAAGAAAGCGATTTAATTATTGATCACATAAAAAAAAGAAATTGTTATTTTATTTGAATAAAAGACAAAAATAATATAATATTAAAATAGAAAGTTAAAAAAAAAAAGTTGAGACCCCAAAAAGATTTCGTTTCATCATCCTCTACGCTTACCTCATCACTATATACTTCTTTTATATGTATATAAGGCGAAATCTCACATGTGGCATATATATATATATATATATATATATATATAAGGGTATTAAGATACGCACGCATGGATAGTGTAGTCACCAACCCATCTGATCAAAGTGTGAGTGAAAAAGGCAACTAAATCCAAAAGATGTGACGGCTTTGACGTCCACCTTTCCCTTTCTTCCGATTCAATGGATTCTGCCATCCATTATTATCTTTCCC